GGCTGCAACCAGAGCAATAACTGTCCACTGTCAGCTTCTGCTGTGGGTGAATTCAAATCAGCTCGATTTAAATTCTCTCCCTCTCGGAGGATAAAATAAAACTACAAGCTAATTCTGTAGCTTATGCCCCCCCCCCCCCCCCACCCCCAACATACGATACGAAACACAGGTGAAGTGCATGTGGGAAACTGACACTTGAAAATCTGCTGAACCTCCCCCCCCCCCTTTATCACTCACAACCCATACCCTGGGAATCCATCTGCCCGAGCAGATCTCATCAGCAGAGTCACGTCGGTTTGGAAGCTGCAGTGAAAAGATGAAAGAAAAGCGAGAGGGTAGCCAATGAATGGTGAGAGAGAGGAAGAGAGATGGATCTTTGGACTACTCAGTGATCTGTACATGTTAGAACATATGCGTTATACGTGTGATTTATATTCTTTATGCATTTTCTGAGTATGAATATGGCCTGTACTAATATATCTCCAGAGGTGAATACTTGTAAAAGGCCTGATGTGTGTCAAAATTATGTTTATTTCCTTTGAAAATTAGAACATCATCATCAGATAATTTCCAGTAATATCTCAAACCATATCGCAAATGCAATATCAGTCAAAATAAAAGCAATTACATGTTTGTTTTTCTCCCACTGCAGGAAAATGGAATAATAACCCATAAATGGCATTTAAAATAAGATAAATATTGAACTGCACATGAGAAGAATACGCTTTGTCTCAAGAGGGTTCTCTAGTTGCATTCGCTCACAGTTTTTTCTCCCATAATGCACTACAGAATTGACTGAAATCCTACAACATCTTGTTGCTCCATACATGCTGTATTTTACACACACACACACACACACACACACACACACACACACACAAATAGAAATACTGTGCCAATGTGAAAGAATCTCCTGCTGCGGCCTCTCGTGCCACAGATGATCAATGCAGTGCTGGAGAATGTAAAGGCACAGTCAACCTAAATATATGATATGAAATATGAAAAGTCGTGCTCCATCTGTGAAGCTCAGCAGTGCAGAAAATTTCGAGAAAATATAAGCCTGGATCACAGCTTTCCTTTCATGATTTCGTACTCTACATTGTGTGAAAATGGTATTAGTGAGGTCTGCTGTTGTCTGAAGAACAGCCTCTCTCTTCATCAGTACTAAAGTTCAAATGCAGGTTTCAGCCAATAGCAGCGATTTACAGGTGTGAACCTGAGAAATCATAATCATAATCATATTCAATATGATTAACTGCTGAAGCGTTCGTGCCGCTGTGTGTTCCTGTTCCATCAATGCTGCGTAACATGAAGCGTTTTCAGTGGTGTAACAGAGAGCAATGAGCTCAATGACCAAATGTTGATGTTTGAGCAACATACCCAAATGTTTCAATCACTGGTTGAACTGATCAAAATTGTGTCGTATGTCACATGAGTGACCGGTGCTCCTGTGCGAACCCCTGCTGTGTTTATAGCAACGATACTACTTGGTTTGAAAAGATTGTTGTTTGGGCTAAAAGATACTTTTGTAGTAAGGAGTAAGGAGGTTACATGAGAAATAAGTCAACGTTTAGGTTTATTGCTGTTATCTGAGTGCAGAAGCAACATGAAAAGTAAGTCAACATTATCTTCTGGTTTCACTCGAGACAAGAACAACGGTCTCCTGGGTGAGAGTCCAGTGTATTTTAGCCCATCCATCTACTCCTCGTCTTGCTTATACCACATCACCTGTCCTGGCTCATCATTATGTGGATTATATGCGAGTTGATAACATGGGTTATATCCACCACATAGCATTATTTTTCATGGGTATAGCTATGAACAGTGTATGAGAACAGCCTGTGTTGTTTAAAGTGTTGGACCACCAGTTCCTGTCAAATCTATTTGTTGTTAAATCCAAACAGTTGAAAACAAAACACAAATATGTTTTATTCAAACTCATATGACTTATTAACTCTCTGTTGAGGAGTCATGAAAATTTTAGGAGCCTCAAAAATTGGGGTCGCTCACATGAAGAGCAAAAGAAACTGTTGACGAAATCCAGATTTGAAGGCGAGCTGGTCCTGTTCCTCACCGAATACCTCCACACAGAGAGCTGCACAGACAGACGGCAGATCGGCTGACCGTCCTCCGACAGCGGCAGGTTGTGGAGAGACGGAGGATTCGACCCCAGTGAGAGGAGGCAGGGAGGGTGACGGAGGAACAAACATGCCGGCATATGGGCGCTCTGGGACCGGGCCAAACCCCGAGGTTGTGGACTATCATGTCTTCCTTTCTCCATCGCCGACTACAACTCTGAAATATCAATCATCACAGTTCAGTCTCCTAATTCTATTTAAAGAGAGGAATCGTCTTTTAAAACAGATGACATAATTCCTTCATTTAAATTATTACTTTTGTATCTATTTTTTTGCCTTGTTTTGCTATGTAGAAAAATTAACTTATTATAATAAAAGTACAAGTTAAGAGTTTCACTTGAAGCTAAACCTTTACAATAATAATGACAATTATTGTTGCTTTAATTTATATTTGGATCACAGATGTGTCTTAAATTAGTTGCGCTACTGAAACTCTATTGCTCGTTTTCCCCTGATGGTTTGTTCTGTGCTACTTCGAGATGCTTGGAAAAAAAAAATAAAAAATCGTATTTATATATTTTTTCTGTCAGAGATATCAAACACTGCTGGAGCGGCTCTGATGCCACTGCGATGAAGATCCGAAGAAAGACGGTTGTGGACCTGCCTGTTTGCAGCTCAGCTAATGACAGTGGTGGCTGTCTGCGTGTGTGTGTGTGTGTGTGTGCGTGTGTGTGTGCGTGTCTCTCTCTCTCTCTCACTGGGGTGTATTGATCACAGGCCTCCATCCACTCCAGTCATGCCTCTGAAGAATCACAGCTTCTCCTCAGGCAACATTGTGTGTGTGTGTGTGTGTGCGTGTGTGTGTGTGTGTGTGTGAGAGAGACGCAGAGTATAACAACACATCAACAGCATGCAGCTAATCCCTGGCCCTGCTCAGCCCTCCAACACGTTAGTTACTTCGACCTGTTCTGATCACCTTCTTGATGCAGTCTGAGTTATCTATACTCTAGCTGCGCAGACCTGTTTTCATTATCGACTAACCATTCAATTATGTCTGAATGCAACTCATTGCTAATTCATTCTGTATGATAAAATGCCCATCACAAGTACCCAGAGTCTACAATAATTCTTAGGGCTACTGAAGTCAGTCTGGAGAACAGTCCAAGAACTTAGACCAAAATGAAATTAGACTAATATGAAATAGGCTAAAAATTTAGACCGTATTTTCAGTTTTGACAACCAAAAGCTGATGCCTGGTTGTCATCTTGCTAACCACTTTAAACAGTGTATGTTGAGCCCTAACAGCCACTCAATTATACATTCAAAACCATTCATTTATCAGAAATGTTAAGTAGCTATCACATTTTGTGTTTTTTCCCACAAACCTCCAGATTGAAGTGCCAGTAAAAATATATATATACAGTATATATAATGTAGGCATATTATACAAAATTAAAATATGCATTAAAAATAAATGTGTAAACTTCAAAAATATAGGCCGAATCCAGACAAAACACAAAATATCACAAAAAGGAGTGATGACACTAAGATTGCTACTAACTCACGTATTAGTGATGACATGTAATCTTGATAGGAGATTCGAAAGAAACAAATACCATGAAACAGGCAAACCGTAAACACAAACACATAAAAACAAATACGTGATGCTGGAACTCGTACAAGCCGCTGCAGTTATTACAGCGACTTCAGTTTGGAGCACATCACCTAGAAGTCTGCGACACTACGTGTGTGAAGAGGCTCTGGTTCTATGCAGGGAGCAAACCGCTGCCCGTGTTGCTCGTCCAGGAGCAGACACGCCCAAAACACAAAAACAAGCAGCTCAACGACACACTGCGACTCTCAATCCGCCAAACGCAGCCAGCATCATCAGCACTTTCCGTTTTTTTGCAGAGCGGCGCTCATCGCTCGTTCACTCAAAAGCCTCTCGAGCCCTGCCGGCATGAGCGACTCGGCCCCCCCCCCCACTGTCCCCAGGCTCCCTTTCTCCGTTCCGGGGCGCTTACCTGAAGCTGGCCGGGGAGTTCACCTGGATGTTGCGGCCGGACGGCGGGCTGGCTTGTCTCTTCTCTCTGTCCGCCATGCCGCCCCGTTTAATGTTCCTCCATCGGCTCCTGCGCTGTGCGGCCGCCCAGCAGAGACACCTGAGGTCCGGCGATGCAGCGATAGGGTGCTGCCTTCGCGGACTGTGGGGATAATAGCGACTCGGCTGAACTGTGCAAGAATGTCTACATAGCCTACTGTGTTGTTGTTGTTTGAGTCCCCATGGATGTAATGTATTGGTCCATTGTACAAACCAGCTCAGCTGTTTTGATTAGCTTACAATAAAAAAAAAGAACAGCCTAAATATTGAATATTTAAGTAATAACAATGGCTAAACATTGCCAATAGTATTCAGCAGCAGATCAAGCGCAAAAAATGCTAAAATTGACAGGCACTAGATTGTTTGCAGTGTTTGAATGTAAAGACCAGCATAGGTGGGCTGTAATAGGCACAGTCACAATTCAGTCGGAATTCCAACCAAACCACATCAAGGTAACATTTTGGGAACTGTTTTCTTACTGTCTGATTCGTAATTTATCATTTCATCTGACTAAAAGCATATCACATTATGTGCATTGAGTTTACGAGGATACCTTGAAGGCAGCAGGAGCTCCCATAGAGAGGAGAGGGGCTGCGAACTGGATGAAAAACAGAGGTGCATTCCCGCTAGGTGAATTTCATAAGGCTAGTTAGTTTCAGATTATTAGACTAATATCTAAATATCTGACCCAATACATTTATCAGTGTGTGACTGGAATGCATGTAACAAGTGTAAATTATCCTGCAGATCTACATACTAACAGTAGTAGTTTATTACAGAAAGAAAACCTGACAGTGTTGAGAATAAAAACTGTTAGACTTGTGAAACAAATCAACTAAATTTCACCTTGGAGACAGTATTTTGCCATGTTGTTTAACAAGAGCTGAGACCATTAAAGAGTCATGTCAGAGAGAAAACGGCAGAGGGAGACACTATACACAGGGATACTGTGAGAAGTGGCAGTAAGATCAGAAAAACATTTGTAAGAAATCAAGTGTTCTTCATTATAAATATGATATAAATAATGATCATGATAACTGACACAAGTCCAGTAAATGTTATTAGTAGTTTTTGCACACACAGCCTAATTATTTGCTTATACTTGCCTTAATCAGCAGATTTTGAAAGGCATACAAAAATGATTCAGACCATCTCTGGTGTGAAATGATATTGTGATTCTGGGGGAGCTTTGTTTGTGAAGTTGGAGAAAATTACCCTAATGATGTCATCCAGGTTACCTGGACTTAGGCTTAAAGACTTAAAGTTACAAACAGGGAATTGGAATTTAAATGACATGGCTGTTTAGCAGTGAAGGAGCTAGTGTACATAACAATGTTCGCTATGGAGATGCATCATGGGAAGTGTAGGATTGAGTAGTTTTCAAGCTTGACCCATTCCAGGCACTAACATTTAGGATGATTCTGCCTTATCAATTTTGACTTTCACTTGAAAGTGCAATTCTAAACTGCTGGAGTGCCCTTTTCAAGCAGCTACTTCTGTTTCCATTGGACATATAAACCAAACATGAGAGTCCTTTATTTCCATTGTAGCTGTAGCTGTAGGGAAATACCACACCACATTGTATGCTACCAACAACCACCAAGTTTCATAAAGTTTTTATTAAAAATATGAACGTATATTTTACAATTCATGAACAAACACTTCAGAGCAATATCAGACCACAAAATAATTGAGATTCTACATAATGTCATATTTCTGGTAAAATCATATATCTTAAAAAGCCTATTTTTTCTCACAGACTCAAATTGCTCGAGTCCAGTTACAGTATTTTAAGAGTTCTTGAACAAAATATTTGAGACTCAACACAATGCTGGTTTTGTACTGCACAATAAAGGCATGAGGAGTCTTCTCACACATTGCTGGTATAAGCATTTATCTTTTTCCTGTAGGTTCACAATGCAGTTCCTTTCAATTTGGCAGTCTGGTCTGAAGATATTGAAGGCCTTGAGGAACTTTTGGAACTCATGAGTTTCCTGTCACTCAAGTACCTCTGGACCCATCCACAGGGATTGACATCAAGCCGCAGGAAGTTCTGCAGCCATGGACTTCTCTGAGCCCCCTCGACGAACTCGTCCAGCGTAATCTGACCTGCACCACAAACAGAATATCTTTGAAGGAATTATTTACGACTAAATATTGAGGAAACCTATTTTTGGAGGGATTTTGTTTGGTTTTGAGTTTGCAGTCAACGTACCATCACTGTTCACATCGACCTCTTGAAAGATGCGCTCACACACCTGCTCAGTAGTGAGGTTCTGTGTTCCCGCTTCATCGGACACGATGCCTTTCTTTATCTTGTAGATTATCTGAAAGAAGAAAATCCAGCAATTAGACAGTTTCTCATCTTGAACCGATAAAGCTGTTGACAAATTATGGGGTTTTGATCCACGCTAGTGCCATGGATCTAGGGATGGCAATGTCGGTCTAATGGTCTGTTGGTTGGTTGGTCCACCATTTTGGCCCAGACTCCAAACTAAAATATCTGTTCTATGGATTACCATAACATTTTGATCAGACATTCATAGACCCAAAATGATCAATAATAACTTTGGTAATCACTAAACCTTTTATCTAGCACAATCATTTGGTTAATATTTAAAGATATTTGCTTACTTCCGATACCTTGCAAAACTACTGGATTTCCATAAGCCTCAGCTGAACTTTGTGTTTCGTGCTCTTTAGTCATTGTTAGCATGCTAACACAGTAAGATGATGAGCATTTTACCTGCTAAATATCAGGTCGCTAGCATTGTCATTGTGAGCATGTAAGCATGCTAACGTTAGCATTTAGCTCAAGTCACCACTGTGCCTTGGTACAGCCTCATAGAGCTGTTAGCTTGGCTGTAGACTGTCAGTGTGTGAGTTTAGTTTGCACCGTCATTGCTGAAGTTGATCAAAAATACTGTTTTCAAATAAGTCCTTAAAAGTAAAACATTTCTATGCACTGGAGTAGAACTTATATTCAATGCTATAAATATCGGGTATGAAGTTTATCTACATGTGGCCATTGATCATCATAAACAACTACTCAAGCGAACAGTTGGCTGGTATTTAATCAAGCCAACAATAAAAACAATCTCAGATCAAATGTAACACAAGACATGACATTACTGCTGAATTTGCTTCTTAAATAGTTAATACAAAGAATAACATAGAGATGGTCTTCTGTCAAACAAATGAGAACTGAGGGTAAACATCAAGGCAAACTTATATGAAATGAAATGTGGTTTATGAAATCAACACTTTTTACCTTAACAATCTTCCGGAGCTCATTTCTGTCTCGGCAGCCGTTGTCATCACTGTCAAACACCTTGAAAGACCACCGCAGCTTATCTTCAAGCTTTCCACGCAGAACAAGATGAAGCGCCGACACATACTCCATAAAATCCATTGTGTTGTCCTGAAAACAGGGAGAAATTACTTGAAAAGTATGCATGGACATATAACGAGAAGGGAAGTTTATAGCAGGAACATTTTTTTTAAATAACTCAATTCAGGGAACAAATCATTGTTGCTCGTATTGCTTAGACTTTCATTTGAAGACATTTTACTTCAAAGCGGCTCCGTAACTCACGTGATTCATATCAAATGCTTGGAAGATGCTGTCCATGTACTGCGATTCAGGTGTACCATGCTGTACTCCAAACATCCTCTTGAACTCGTGCAGGTACAAAGATCCACTGGGGCACTCCATGACGTATGACCTGTAGAGGTCCTGGATGCAGTTTACCTCCAGTTCTTCTTCCTGTGTCTGTACTTGCTGATTTTGACCCATGCTAAATTCTAATCATGACACTGCAGTAAAAACTCAGAATTTCTTATTTCATTGAGAAATAAATACATACAGGTGATTTCTTAAAATCATATCGTTAAGACATAGTCCAGTGTCCTCCTCATGGCTGCTGTTGACGGTCCCGGTCTTGAACTGCGGGGAGTGTAATAACTGATTCATGTGATGCTTGATACCAACCAAGAGGCTTATTTTTAGCCAAAGTCTTTTGCAAGCTATGTTTAAAGCAGTAATCCACATGCTTGATCCCATCTTGACTCTTTTTTGACTCAGGGTCACTGGTACTCTTCACGCTATTGCTTACTAAAATTATGACTTATATCCACAATAAAAGCCCCTGTACTCACTATTATAAGTACAGAAATCCCGACAGGTACATTTATATGTAGCTGTTGATGGCTCTAGTGGCTAGTGACAAAATTAACTTGTACTTATTTACTTTTGTAATGGTATGCTTTATTAAGGGCTTAGGGGATTCAGCCATCATCAGTTTCATCATTTAAACCTCAACTTTTCCTACTGTGATGTCAACTTTTCTTGTCAAAGGCCTATATAATCACTCGTTACACCCCTGCCCCATAGCAATTATAATTACATTGTAAACTCAGGTAAACCTGTTGAGCTAGAATAACTAAGTGAGAAAATCCCAAGGGTTTATGGGTCGAGTGACAGAGGGGGGCATGCCACTGAGAGCAGGTTTACAGTGGTACCAGAGGCAATCTCTGTACCTCATGAGGTCTGGATGGGAAAAGGATGTTTAACACTTATTGTAACAAAGAGGTGAGCATGCATTTCGGTTCGATTTCAGTTGAAAGAAGAACGATATTAGCACACATTTGTACAGCTGGGAAGCAGGACATGACAATGACTTGTGATGTTTTACTGAACCTTAATTCATAGGATTAAGAAAAAAAAACTGCCTTTTACAACAGTAATCAGGTAAAAGAACATTGCTTTACAGCATGGACTTTAATTCAATATGCACAATGCGAATGTAATAGTGTTCTAGTAATGTTATTCTTTGCTGAAAAACAAAGTAAAAATGAAAAACAGTGAAAAAATACAATAGAAAAGCAGACATTATTATCATACACTATTTACATATTGACACTTTATAACAAGAAGGCTGTGACTTGAGCACTATGTATTGAGAAAATGTATATATATATATACATATATAGCTTGAATAGTATTTTAAGAAAATGTAATTAATCCTAACCTTATAAGCTTAATTATTATAGTTGTGCAACTAAAAGCCAATTATGAAAAATGTCTTCATTTCTTCAGTCTGTGAATTAGAAAATTGTAAAATGTGTGTTTAATACATTAATAATGTATTGTATACAATAATTAATACATAAATCCACACCTAGATTTTAGCCATGATTGTTCTCCCTTTGGCCACATGAAAAAGGCACGTGTCATTTCAGAAGTGTGCACTCCTTCTCCGCTGCTCCAGCACCCATCCAGCAGGGTTCATGTCCAACTTCAACATGTTGAGCACCCAGGGGTCCTCCTGTGCGCCTCTGATGAACTCATCCAGGTTAATTTGACCTGTGGAACAAAAAAAGCCAAAAGTGTGGATTAATGTTCTCTGTTGAAACAACAAAATATTCCCTCTACAAAAGTGTTTTCCTTGCATAACATGACACGTGTCGCAATGAATGCTTACCATCACCATCACTATCGACGGCCTGTAATATTCGATTCGCAACTTCATCTACTGTAAGTTGTGTATCATCCGTTTCGGTCTTTGAGCCTTTCTTTATCCGATAGAGGCTCTACAAAAAAATTTAAAATAAATGTTATATTTAATGTTAATAACAAAGAAAATATCATATCAACAGCCTTTTTAGCAAGTGGCAATGCATGACTGAATAAATGAAGATTGACCATCTTGAGCACTCTTATTAATTTACCATCACATATTTTGAAAACAAGTTTTTCTGTTTGATTTAACAAATACTACTGATTGATTTTAAAGATTGTAAATAACGCATTGACAGTCTTGGCACAGTCCTGGCACATTTCTGGCATTGCATTTTGTTTTGCTTTAGATTAAGAGTAATTAATCAGAGAACAGATACAGATTTCTATGTTACCAGTTACCACAATAATACATCGCTATTGGGAAAAGTGGTTTTAACTGGAAGAAAAAGATTGAAATCCAGCGGGGAAACATTTGGGTTCAGACTTGAACCTGAGTGATCATGGTTTAGATAATCCTCTGATAATCCACATTTTTACATTCACTCTCACACCTGTAACTAGCAACCCAGTCGCCAGAACAAAGGTTGGCATTGTAGGTTTTTGCAAACCACAGATACCTTAAATGTCAAGATTTCTGAAACAAACATTAGCCTTGTATCAAGCTTGCAGAAACACACAGTGTCTCTTAGTTGACGTTTTGAAACGATTGGTTCGGTTAAGGCAAAGAAACTTCTTGGTTAAGGTTTGAAAAAAGATTATGATTTGTGATAAAATAATGTAACAATGTAACTGAACAACGTAACTGAACAACGTAACTGAACAACATAACGCAACAACGTAACGCAACAACGTAACGCAACAACGTAACGCAACAACGTAACGCAACAACGTAACGCAACGCAACGTAACGTAACGCAACGCAACATAACGCAATGCAGCGCAACGCAGCGCAACGCAGCGCAACGCAGCGCAAGGCAACGCAGCAACGTGGTTTGCTGAACCTTAAATGTTAAATAGCCTTGCATATACATATCACCTTTCTAGTCGAACAACTAACGGCGCTGCAGCTTTAATTTTGAAATGCTACATCAGAATGTCCTGGTTCTCGCTGTGTGACACCTTGAGGTGGTCTGCTATTAACCTGAAGTGAAATTATTTTGTAACTATGCAGCATTTCCTCTAAAATCTCATCTGAAATTAGACAAATTGTCACTGCATGTCAACATCCACACATTCCTACACAGTAATGGCTGAGGCTGCCATCTCATCTAATGTATGTACAACGCCAACATTGTATTTTGGCAACTGGGCTGTAACTAGCTACCAGATTGTATGATGATGATAAAATGATGTACGCAAGCACATACTCAACAAGATAATTTGACACTTCTGTATGGCCAGTAAAAAGATTGTATAATATCTATGTCCATTAAAATTGAAGTTGTCCTTTATACTTTGTGTATTCATTGTATGCTTCACAAGGAATAGACTTGTATATAGCTTATATGCATATATTTTTTCTTATAGAGAATAATTTTCCTTCTTTCTTCTGTCTTCTCTCATCTTTAGTTTGAGAACTCCAGATATATTTCATACGGTAGGGGAACACATTGCATCCCAGAAGAAGATCCAAGATGAAAATATCTGATGGGGCTGCTGTCATTTGCTGCTTAAGTTTAGACTTGAAACTAAATGCCATTTTGCAAAAGGACAACTTACTTTGAGGGATTCTCCTTTTTCAAGCTCAGTATTTTAGTTGCATCCAACACCCACAAGACAGTTGTAGTTGACATGAAGGTAGACTTACATCAATTATTGACCGTAGTTCTTCCCTGTCCACATAGCCACTGCCGTCTTTGTCATACACCTTGAATGACCAGCGCAGTTTATGCTCCAGGTCTCCCCGGAAAACAAGGTTCAGTGCTGCTACGAACTCCAGGAAATCAATCGTATTGTCCTGAAAGGTAAGTTAAATTAGAAAAAATTGAATCACATTTTCCACATATTGGTAAAGATGAACAGTATGCCAGGCTGTAACAGCTTTTACTCTCTCACCCCATTTCGGTCAAAAGCTCGAAACATGTTCTCCGCATAATCAGACGCTTCCCCTATCGGGTCCACACCAAAGAAACGCTTGAACTCATGCAGAAAAAGTCGTCCACTTGGGCACTCCATGACAAACTTTTTATACATATCCTGAATTGCTTTGACATCAATCTTCTCAGTGTTCTCTGTTTGCTGTGTCTGCCCCATGACTGGCCTGTAATTCAACAGCCCATAGTCCGGAAACCTTTGAGTATGAACTCCACATTGGAGTGACCAGACTCGAAATGGGCATCTCTTAGTCTTAGGTGTTTTTTTCAACCCTGTGGAATCCCAAAGCTCCAGTTTGCCTAGGAGACAGGCGATTAGTGTGGCCTCAGGATTACTGTGGTATTATGTTGGTGGGGTTTTCTCACTGGGTTAATTAGGTTTGCAGCTGAATGTGTGTCGAGGCCAAATTCGTAGGAAAGACACACACTACTCCAACATGTAAATTACAGGTTTGTGCATTTTAATAGAACGGCATACAATATTTTGCCACTGCTGAAAACTAGATTGTCAACACAAATGCTACTTGCTTTCAGTAAAATTGCTTTGAGCACACATTCGGTAATATGTTGAAGATTATGGTTAGTCCTGTTTAATTGTTGATTACAGCAGCTGCATTTGCAGACTTCTTTGGAAACTTGAGGGTACCAGAAGAAACTGAAAAATTCATCTGGAGGCATGTTTCTGCACACCTGATGAATGCAAACTACACTTTCCCATTATAGTAGCTGTTGTGGCAACAGTCGCTTGATGTACTACATCACTTCCTCTGTGTGCCACTCCTTTGACCCAATGCAGCATCAACATTCAATGTATGTATGCTGTGCAAAACTGCAAATCTGGGTGCAAGTTTTCTGGGGGGGTTTTCATTTAGAGGGACCTCTTTCACGTTACACAGAGTAATCCATTGTTAAAAAACAAAACAAAACGTGAATTACAGCAGTTGTATCAGTAAGCAATGTGTTTTCTAAAACAAATGTCATTAATGATCCTCTGACTTTTCCTCACAGACGTAATCTTGTCTATTAGGACATCCAACTGAGCTTTGACAAGTCTGCAACAAAGCATCAGCACAATTCGTTATTCATAACAGATGAAATGAATGATGAAGTACACCAGTTTGTACTGTTAACTTGGAAAAAAAACTAAAAACAAGTTGGCAACATCAACTGAGTAAGAGTGCT